TTTGCCTCAATTCTTCCTAGGTCAAGCTGGGCCTTTGGAAAGGCACACATCATAGTGAAATGAACAGCTAACTGGTTTTCAACACAGGTAATGTTAAAGACTGGTATTTATCCCACAAATACTTGTGAAGGGCTAATTATCTGGAAGGGATTATCCTCTGCTTTGGGAATACAGCAGTGGAAATAGTGTCAAAAACCCTTGGCCTCACAGAGATTATATTCCATTTGTGGAGAGGGGAACAGAAAATAAACAAGGTCATATAGAAAGAAAATATTTTGTGACAAACATGCTAAGGAGAGGAGAAAAAAACAATTAAAAAATCAATGAAATATGGTTAGTTCATATTTAAGCTTCACGTATGTTTATCCATATCCATAGATTCTGAGTAAGAAATAAAATGCATCTGAGATTAGGACACAGCTTTGATAAATATAAGAACTAGTTGGATAAATGGAGATGGAAAAGTTCATTCCAAAGTGATGGTCCTATTAGGAAGTGAAATGAAGAAAACTGTGGGAGTAGCAAGTTTTTGGATGGACACACAGATGATAGCATATTGCATACATACTTTAGCCATCTTAGGTAGATTGGAAATGGCTATAGATAATACATCACTTGGTTACTGATGAAGATTTAAAAAAAAGGAATAAATAGTTACAAGTGTGAGATGGGGATATGTGATGTGTCATTTACCAAAGTATTAGAAGGAGTACAGTATTTAAGAATCAGAAAAAGTATATTATTTCATATTCCGCCCAAATTAACTTTAAAAACATTTAGCTTTAAAAAGTGAGAAAGCAGAAAGCTAAATATAGTATTATGTGCAATCTCAACTTTAGAAAGGTACACTAAAAGAAAATATGATAAAAGGTATCAGTGACTCTATAGACAACGGCCATAAACAGAAAGATATCATAAAAGGGTTGATCATCTTGTAAACATATACTTGTAAATATGTAATAAAGAGAATATGAAATGATAAAAGGAAGTCGCAACTAAGGAAACCAAAGGGATTGCATAAGAATCTCTCTTACATATTCTGATCTTTAGACATTAAAATGCAATACGATCAAAGATATATATATCCTTGATGTGTATATGTATAAAAGTATATATATGTGTATACGTGTGTGTGTTTGTTTATATATGTATGTATATGTGTACATATTGGAACATATTGTGGTCTTGATTAATTAATAAATTGATGTCAGACTGAAAGAATGGAATTAGAATCATAAGACTGGAGTTAACATACAGGAAGATTGCAACAAGATACCAAGATATATCAATAACAACAAAACTATCCAGTGATATAATGGGATGGTTTGCTTATCATCCAAAGGAGGATTTAAGCAGATGCTGAGTGACCAAATAGAGAGAACGTTGTAGAGTGAACTCTAGAAATATGTGGATGGTTGAACTAAAAATGTCCCAGTTCCTTTTCAATCCTTAAAAACTAAGATATTCAATCCAGCTTCTCCTGGGATTGCCCTTCATCCAACATTCATCCCACTCAACATATAAGCCTCTAAGAATTTTTTTCTAATTTATTCAATTAATTGATTGTTTCAATTATTATCCATATCTGGGTACTCTTGACTTTTCAGTCACAACATTCATGACCTTCCTCTCAATCTTCACTTCATAAATGGCACTTAAGTTTCCATTCTTTCTTTTGCTGGCTTGTTAACATGTCTAATCAAATTAAGTTGCAGTTGGATGCCACCAACTTTTACTTAGTACTCTCATGACTAAAATGAATACTTTATTATTATATTCATTTTCAAGTATAGAGCTAATTTACTTACCATGGGCACTGGAAGAAAAGAACATTGCCTCAGCATAATGCCTGGTTTGATAGAGCTGCTGGACTAGTTTATTATATTGAATCACAAAGATATTATACCAAACAACCAAACAACAACAACAGAAGCATGTAATTGGGTTATACTGATCTCGAGAGAATGTTGTTTCAAAATCTCTCCCTTCAACTCATGCCTACACTTACCAACTATCATGGCCAGGAAATTATTGTTTATATCTACCCTCAGTTTTTCACCCTGTGGTATAAAGTCATTTCCTTTTTCTTGATTTTCTGCAGCTGGATATCTCAACAGCAGAGTGATATTATTTTCCACAAAATGAGAAACAGAATAAGGTCATATCAACCATAGAGATCATGTGTAATACTGGCCATAATGATGGACCCCAAGAAGCATGATAGAACAGGTTGGCAGCTACACATGCTATGCTGAAAACACAATATTTTGAGAGCAATAACATGTCAAGTTTGCCCAAATAAGAGATGTTAACAGCCACATATTTCCATGTATTGAATGGCAACAGTTGTAATGAAAGTGAAATGCATTTTGTGCAGATCAACAACACTCCCTAAACAATTTACACACCATTAACTACTTCTCACTATAGCATGGCAAGTGGTTTTTCGTATTCATTCTAGAGATAGATACAATCCTAATGTACTAGTGAAAACTAAAATTGATTTTTTTTTACTGCTCTAATGTAAGAGGCTTACAAATTATTTCACTTTGCAAGTACATGCAGCTTAATCTGATGTGTAGCATTTAGGACTGCTAAAATCTGCAATTACTTAAGTAATTTGGTATTTTTCTGAACAATTATGAATCACTGCATGGATATAAAGAGTATGTCACCTTATAAAAATTATCTTGATACAAAAATTACAACTTTATCTTTCTATTTATTTCAGGTACATATAAATAGCTTACATAGCTAAAGGAAGGATAGATTTCTATTTTGATTATAAAAAAATAAAATTGTGATTTAAAAAACAACAAAAAAGAAAGATATGCCTAAAATAAAATAAGTAAATAAATGTCAAGATCCCTACAGAAATAAATTCCTTTTCATTATCTCAAGGAATATGTTGACATTTACATTTTGGCCAGCTGAGGTTCAAATTAGAGAGCTCCATAGGTAACAGAGACCCAGAGGCCTGTGTGGATCCAGAGGACAAAGATGACGGTTCAATTATTTTCCCTGAATGGCTTATCCAGCTTTGGCCTCAGCATGCAGCAAGGTATTGGGAGGCTGATGCATGCAGCCATGAAATTACGCATTTAAGTCTATTTTCTTAATTAATTTAAACATGCTTCAGAAACATACATGCATTTAATCTGAAAATTCCTGTGGACTGGTCACTGGATAGGATCAAGGCTCCCTAAGGATCCTATTTTTCATGAGCTTTTAAAAGATGTCTCTTGATAGAGGAAAAAGAATGCTTTAAGACTTGGAGAAAAATCTACCCTTCTTTTCTTTAAGAAAAAAAAATTTTTTTTCGAAAAATAATGATGTTGAAAAACTTGCTGTCAGCAACTGCTAGTTTGGCTGATAGTTAAGAGAGCATAAAAAAATCTGCAGGGGTGTACATACTGTCCCTACTGTGTGATACACAAACCACAAATATGAAGAAGGCATGAGTAAGTGAACACAGGAGCAGAGCTCAGAAGAACAAAAAGACGACAGGTGGAATTCATGACATTTGTGTCAGATACTCTCAAGACTGTTTTTTCTGGGGGGTGGTGGGTACAGGAATGAGCCAGCTCCTGGGACAAAGGAATGGTTCATATGTGTTACCAGAGCCTCATAAAGCTATCATTTGCCTAGTAGCCCCCAGCTCCACCTCTAGCCACCCACAGCCTCACAGGCCTTGATCAATGACCCTGAACATATATCCATGTCTAGGAAGCAGTTATTTTCTCTAATCCTGGAACACACTGAGTCCTGCCCATCTTCTCTTTGTCTTTCATTTCTTTTTTTGATGAATACCCTTCAGAATTTGCACTGTATTGGAAAAAATGGAACCCTTGCTCAGCTCATTTTTCTCCATGAGCATATGCTGTTTTATCATGATTTGCACAGTTATAGTTTTTCCTCTTTGGAAGGTTAGGCCACCTGCCCCCCAGGCTCCTACTGCACACAACCGCAGGGCCCTACACTGTGGACAGATGCTGGGCTCATTTTCTAGTTAGAATCTGGTATTAGTGAAGTCAGAAATAAACTACTCTTGCTAAATCAATACACAGCAGAGTCGGGTTTTTTTTTTTAAAAGACAGCCCCACATTGGAAGATCAGTGAAGTTAAATAGCCAGCTTTCCACTCACCCCTGAGGATGCAGAGTTCTAAAGAATAATAGCAATTTGGTCAGCAAAGAAAGATACCTGCTTGGATGTGAAGCTATCAGGTTTCTAAGCAAAGGCAGAATGGTTTAAAGACAGAGTAGAGAAATTTAAGAATTTAGCCAGTAAATATAAAATGGCTAAACTAGACTTTGCTGAAGCAGCTAATTTTTCCCAGATAAGACATCCTCATAGGTTTATTGTACATGGTCAAAAAACTGAAGCAAAATTCATCTATGGATTATACAATGATTTTGCTAATTACTGATTTTTGTAAAATAGAGATTTAATTCCTGGTTCATCTTTTATTTACCATGGCCATGCTCTCTGATAGAATGAGATAACCATGTGATGACAATTATAGACATTGTTCCATGCAGCCCAGTAAAATTCCAGGGTTTAGATTTGATCATGCAGTATATTACATAGAAAGCAAATGTAGAGACGTAAACATTCTGTATAAAGTATTTCAAAGGAAATTGTGATTTCCTATATTAATTTTAACATGAAATATCATTTCTAAAAGCAGACTCATTTTTTAGATTCCCAGGTTTAGCAAACAATGCTTTATGCTTATTGATTAAAAGTTTTCTAACTTCCTAATAAATCAATGTGCTGTGCTGTCTCATGATCTAAATTCCCCACACTCAAATGGCAGGTAGTAAAATATATGTATCATGATTACTTATTGAATGCAGTCATAAAATAATATATGACAGTCTTCGAAATTTCAAGGCAAACATGTAAAGATTAAGATGAATAACTGTCAATTAAAAAAATAATAAAGCTATATCTTCTTTGAACCAAAGGCAACAGATATAAAATCATGGTGGTACTTACCACGGTGAAGTTCATCACTTTCAATATCCAAATTGTCATGGCTAAGTTAACTATCATGGTAACCAACAGCAGAAGGACAAAGAAGTATAAGCACCTCTTTCGCCATCCATAAATTCCCACTGGGTAAAGTTGTGCATTCTCAGCCCTTGGCAGATTATTTTGTTGTGTTGCTAGTATGTACTGTTCTCGTGTCATCTGAAAAAAAAAAAAAAAGAAAGAAAGAAAAGAAGTATTCAAAAATAAAACCAGAGGTTTTTTTAAAATCAAAAGGCACAAGATATCTAAGAATAATGGTGAGTGCTCACACAATTATTGATGAGTAATTAAAATTAATTTATTTAATTAAAATTAATTGAAATGTTATAAAACCCCTCAAATCCTTATCACTAGTTTTGCTTTTCAAAGCTATTTAACTACCTGTTACATCTCTAAGATGTGTATCGTTTTCAGCGGGGTTTGTCCAATCCTAACATTGACCTTTGCTCTCAGGAGTCTATGAAGATTCTCAGCAATACTTCCATTTGTCTAAAGCCCAGTAACTGTATGCACAGCCATGCTACTCTTGGAATGAACTTCATCTGTTCTTCGGAGTAGACAGAGGCCAACTGTACCACAAGATATTTTTGTGGCTTTAAAAGTGCAGGATAGGGCTTCCTGTGTGGCGCAGTGGTTGAAAGTCTGCCTGCCGATGCAGGGGACAAGGGTTCGTGCCCCGGTCCGGGAAGATCCCACATGCCGCGGAGCAGCTGGGACCGTGAGCCATGGCCGCTGAGCCTGCGCGTCCGGAGCCTGTGCTCCGCAACAGGAAAGGCCACACCAGTAAGAGGCCCGTGTACCGCAAAAAAAAAAATAATAATAATGCAGGATATAAGGAGCTCAGTGTATATGTTTAATAAAATGTCAGTGTGTTTTGCAAAAACCTATGGAAAGAAAATCACTTTTATTTAGAATTATATAGATATAACTATTTAATTAAAACTTTTATTTAGAATGTTATTTATTTTAGTTGTATTTCAATGAGTTATCAGTATAAAATTGACCTCTGAAAGAACAAACAGCATATTTACTATCCTGTAACATAATACAATGATATCAGCAGAAGTCAGTTTTGGAAAAGGGGAGATGGTATTCTATGGTAGTATATAAATTTAGGTTCTAAATTAGTTCTTTCAAAGAGAAAATGAATTATTTACTATCTGATAAAACCTAAAAATATGGATAAGAAATGTCAAAGCATATGTACTGGGTATACAATTTTCAGAATAATATATTCATTACCTGAAGGATGGAAACTTTAAATTTTATAAAACATGATTTTCTATAGAACAATAATTGTTCATTTTTTTCTTTTTAGGTTTTTCTCAGATTTCTTGTGCATGCAATTAATAATTAATACACCAACAGAAATAATGCTGAATAAATTATGCAACAATAAAAACAACATTAACAAAGAATTTAAATTACCTATTAAGTAGTACAAAATATATAATGTAAGATTATTAATTTATGGTGTTAATTGACTTAATCCTACACTAAATAAAATGTTGAACTATATACTGAGAAATGCAAAATATCCAAGTTATTTGGCTTTCTCCCATTTTTCTTTTTATTTTAGAGCTATAACTTCATAATGTATTAATGCACTGTTAAATATTATCTCTCCAATTTTTTATGAGTGACAATATATTATATGTAAGATAATAAAAAGTTTCATATGTTAAATTATAATTTAAAATGTATTAGACGAGCTAATACTATTAGATGATTAAGAACAAATTCTTTCATAATATAAAAAATTACCTTTTTCTTTATTGTCATTGTTATTATTTAAATTAATATTTAATATTTTCTTGAAAGTAGCCCAAAAGCTTTAGACCTTAATTCCAATTTGGAGTGGAGATGTGTAACTTACTAACTGCTACAAAACGTAAAGTTATACAACAGGTGACAGAATACCACAGGAATTTACTTTGCCTGAAGATTCTGGTGGAGATTTTATAGTTCTGACAATGGCTATTATTACAAAGTAGAAAGTACATTATAGGAAGATGATAAAGGGAACTCTAAGGACCACCACAGTTAAAGGGAAGAAAAAGGAAGAGCCATGTTCTTGAAAAGAGGAAGAGTATGGACATAAGAGTGGAGCAAAAGAGCCCAGAAACCTGATTATGTCCAGCTGACAAGGAAGAGACCTTCCCTGGTATAGCTGGTCTCTGAAGTCACAAGCAAAATGCTGTGACTATTCAGACCATGCATTGTCTTTAATCTCATATTAAAGCAAACTTCCTTTTTAGAATATTCTATTTCTACAAATTCCGTTTAGACATGAAGGTGAGATTAACATGCTTTAGAAAAGAAATGAGAACTTAATAAGTATCTGAAATAAAACAAACACACATTACAAAGAAAATGGGCTTTCAACAATAGAATTGATTTTTTTTGGTAAAGCATCAGAAATTCAGTAAATATATCAAATGCCCCTAACAATTTGAAAAAGCAAATAGCATAACAAAAAGCCAAGAGAAAAAGTTGTCAAGAAAACAAAAAATCTGTTATTTAAGTAAAACTATTTTACCATCTCAAGAAATTCCATGATATTTTCTTAAATAAATATGAGTTTAACATTATTACTTTATATATCTTGTTCATCACAAAATACTTCAGAATATCCAAGCTGCAAAAAGACAACAAGACTATAGAGTTTTCTTTAAAAATTTCCTTCTTTCTTAAGTCTCACAGACCTGAGTGTTTTTCAAGATCACAAAAGCGTTCACAGTGGTTACAGTGCTCTGTAGAGAACAACATACAACGCTTAAGAGATTAAGCAAACTACTCTATATTTGAAACTTTTACAACCTTCGCCTGAAATGTTAAATGCTGACCTATATTCAAGTATTAAACATATTCTGAAATATTTTGGTTCCCTTGGCATTATGAGAATTCCATAAATAAAATAGAAAATTGTGTGTTTATTGTCATTCTAAAGGAATGTAACAAACGTACACTTGCAGATATACTTATTTTCTCAGAAGAGCTAAGGAAACTTCCTGAAACAGAAATGGCCAAGATTTCCTGAGAGAATATATCACTGTGCTGAGATGTCTCTCTGGTTAGTCCTCTCTACTTCCTTCTGAAATATAAATTCAACATTCTCAAAATTATTGCTTTGCAATTCTTTTGGTTTTCAAGGTTGTGACCACCCCTATTATTGGTTATTACTTAAAATAATTAGGACTTCCTTCATCTTAGTTTTGCAGTTCTATTTCATACTAGATTTTATGTTTAAAAGCATTCGTTAGAGTCAAATAACTTCTAAAACACAGTCTTTCTTAGCTAAGGTTGAGGAAGTCTTCAGCCTTCTTGGATCCAGATGTTTATCAGCATTCACATTAAGATAAATGCATTTACTTGTATCCTCTTGTAATTCAGGGAAGGGCTGATTTAATTCTGGACTTTGCACTCTCTAGACCTTGTGAACTTTTCAACATTCTTCTCCAAAGGTATGGAAAATCTAGTTTTCAGAAAGGGTTATTTTGTTCAGTAAATTTAATAACTTAGTATGTAAATACTAGAAGAGAATGAATTAATCATTCATTAATCACTAATGACCTAAACATGATTCATCACTAATAATTTAGCTCTGGAGAATTCTGGTAAAGTCTACTGAGCTGGATGGAATGGGAGAAAAATTAACTAAAGCTTCAGAGTCCATTGGCTACTACTCCCCTGCCTCACAGAAGGGAAAAACAGTACAAAATACTAAAGCCAAGGTAACATTATAAATATTCCAATCTACCTGGCATCATTATCTAGGTATTTTGTATAAATAGTGCTTTGAGACTCTAGTCTTCATTCAATAAAATATGTTTTTAGTGACAACTATGTGCAGGTAGAGTTCAAGTTTGCTGCACTCATGAATTTCACATGGTTATGGAAAACACAATAAACCAATAACGTAAAAATTTATGTGTATATAGAAAATAACATATCAAATAGTAATATGTTCTGAAGATGATAAATACAATATAATGGATTCATGATATAAGCAATAAAATATTAAATAGTGATAGATGCTATGAAGATAATAGGCATGGTGATATAATGGGGGCGTGGGAAACTACTTTGAAAGTGGTAGAAAGAGAATGCCTCACCAAGGAAGTGACACCTAAGATGAAATTAAAATGATGGAAATCTTCTATAAAGAAAGTTAAAGGAGATCTTTGAAGATTTATCTGAAGGCCGAATTAGAGTGGGCTAAATAGAAAATGAAATATGAGGAAATGGAGAGAGTATAGACCTTTTCTGAGGGGTAGAGAATGGCAAAGGAATGGGATTTCAGATGAGAATATGAAGTCAGATGTTGGAGTATTAAATCAGGGACCAGTGTGAGTTTATGTGAAGGATATGAGAGAGAAACTGGAAAAGCAATGAGGTTACTTAATATGGGACCAATAGTCAAGGTGAAATCTGGGATACAGAGACAAGTTCTGCATTCTTAGAGGTGTGGTGGCCAAGGAACTAGTGACAATGACAGAAGATCAGCCAGGCAGCTGGGCTTTACAAGGTGGGAATAAAGTAGACAGGTTATAATGATCATAATCCAATGAGAGGAGTTCTTGGTCTTAGTCATGCACTAGTATTCTGACTCACATCAGCATATGCAAAACTGAAGGTAGCTGCACCGTGGTTAGAGTTTGCAGGTGCCTGGCTATGGGACGTGTGGCACTGAGACTCACCTGCTCCACAGCCCACTAAATCAGAGGCTCTGTCACTACAAACTTGCTCCATTTGGATTTCACTGCATAAGACCTAGAATGCTCATGGGTATAAGTACCATCTTCTCCTTTCCATCCCCACAGTCTTTCCTCTCTTTAAGTAAGGTTTTATTATTTATTTTCTAAAATTGGCAGTAGAGAAAGGAGGGCGTTTGTGAATATAATTAGACATGGCATCTCTCTAGACAGGAAAGGCTAAAGAAAATTCGACATGTCTTAATATTTGTGAGACTAGAAGAAAAGAAGAGGTTAAAAGAGATTACAGTGTCTGAGATAATTGTTTTACATTGGCATGGCTAAATTAAGGGTAAAAATAAAAGCTATTAATGGAATGCTCTGTTTTATGTTTTGTAAGGAAGAAATATTGTCTGAAAGGATGATCAAGTGACCTGCTCACGTTTGTATCCTTATGATCCTAAT